AAAAAAAATGTAACACGCATATAACGACTATATTGCTGGAAAGATGATGAGAATAAGAGCGAATGCAAGATCAGAGAACGAACCAGATCTTCTAGATTCGCGTCCTGCTGCTTCAGTTTACGAAAATCGTACCGAACTTGTTGAAAGTAATGTAGGACGTAAGCACCACCAAGAACAATCGAGAAAAACGGTATCCCAACGCGAATGAATTTCAGATTCCGATTTCGCATCAAACTGAACCCTAAATCAAAGAAGAAGAGTTATTCTACTAAATGCTATAGAAACGAACATAAAATACTGCACAAAAGCGAGCGATCCTAAAATCAACGACTACTCGGCAATATTCAAAGATCATTCCTACTTAGGCGTTCTAAGTCTGTTCATAGACAAAGCTTAATAAGGTAAACGACATTGAAAAGTGTTACTGTTGAATGCTCTCAAAAAATGCAAATAAAAGAAATCGAGTATTTGCAAAGTCCACACACAGATGCTATATTTGAACATCTAAAAACTCCTGCCATTCCTAGCTTTAGTCGTTCACATTTAGACTACAAATGCTCAAAACAATCTGTGCTGACTATAGTAGTTTCAAAAATTTATACCTGCAACATTCTACAACATCGATGCAGCATTCGCGTGACTGAAGTGACGCCGAACTCGGTGTGTTTGTCGCAACGACGTTTACGTACCCGCAACAAGATTTACGCCAACGATCATTGCTTGATCTTCGAACTGGAGTGCAAGCGGCCGAATTTTGCTGAAAGGGGACGTGTGGAAGTTTTGTGAATTTTAACACATTCCGACAATACGACACACCAGTGGGTCGTACGCTTTCTGAAGTTTTGGATAGGCAAACAGTATAAACTTTTGTATATATCTCTTGGAATACTTCCCAAAACATCAACACTTCACACCATGGGGCCTATCAGAGGCCAGAAAATATTACGCAAAAACGATATTGCGAAGTATAGCCTTGTCGTGAATGTGTAGTTCTTGTGTAAATGAATACCTTGTCAGAAATGAGGAAAATCTCTCAGGTAGTGGTTGATTACCCACATACCCAAACAAGAAAGATGAATGCAGTCGGAAACAGAGAAGAACACCGAGAGAGAGAGAGAGAGAGAGAGAGAGAGAGAG